GCAACGGTACGCGCCTGATCGTTACAAGATTGACGGATCATATTGTGGAAGCAAGAATAGTTAATGGAACGCAGCAAGAAAACAAAGTTCTTATACCACGAATGTCTCTCACCCCTTCTGATACGAGATTGCCGTTCAAGTTCCAACGTAAACAATTCCCGTTGATGCTAGCATATACAATGGCTATCAACAAAAGCCATGGTCAAATACTAACTCACGTTGGCTTATTGTTGAAAAACCCAGTCTTTAATCACGGTCAATTGTACGTGGCTTTTTCCCGAGTCACTCATCCTGATGGCCTTAAGGTTTTAGCTCTAGACAAGGATGTACAAACTTCTGGTACTACTACTAATGTCGTCTACAAAGAGATTTTCAACAATGTGTAATTCAAAACAGTTATATTATGTATTCTTCTTTCACCAATATAACAAAATTGCTACATATCTACATATTACGTATATATTCCGTTACAATCTATAGCTAAATTATTACACATAAAGATAATGAGACCAATTAATTCAATTCCGAAACATTCATACAAACCTTAATTCAACGTTAAAATTTACACTATCGAATATGAATCAAATTATAATTCATATATTATAACGAATACATTCCGTGCATCGCACGGGTGCAAATACTAGTAATAATTAAAACCATTGACCGACTTTTGTTTAGTACACCAAACATCAGAGTACAATAGTTCAAGTGGTCTATTATAAAATGGAAACTTGTGACTTTTGTTACTTAGGCAAGACTTACAATGGATATCAGAGTTAGGCCGAAGGGAAATATTGACACTTCTGAACACATTAGCAAGTGTTTTATTTGATGGGTAACCTAGAGTATGATGCCAATTTGTAAGAGAAGACTTGATAGCCGCATTTATTTGTGGTGGAAATGAAAGTGGAGCAATGTACACATCATGCACGTTCCTCCCTCGCAGAAGTAGCGCCCCCGTGGATCGATCCTTCACAAACAAATGTGTATAAAAAAATTCAACAGAAACATTATTAGACTTACAAAGTTTGGAAAAGAGACAAGGTTTCTTTGTAATTGGGGAACACAGAGAACATTAGACAAAGATAAACTACGGTTAGATGTAGGGAGGATGGTTTGACCAGTATGAGATATTGACAGGGACATACCATCACCCAGATGAATCTCGCCTGGCCCACCGTATTCAGTAGAGTGTAGTATCGATGGATCTGAAGTGGTGTGATGGGATGCACCAGAATCAAACAACCAAGGTTGTTGATGATGAGCAACAGAATGGGATGCAGCAGGAGCCATGGTGGTATTCACCACTGGTTTGGTGTCAAATCTTGCTTCTAGGGAGACATTATTATCTCGTAGGAAGCGTTGCAGCTTACGACACTCACGGGTCTCATGACCCATAAGATTACAAAACTTACACATTATATTCCGACGTTGTTGGTTGAAATTCTGGGAGTGCGAAGACTGCCCATTATTTCCTCGATTTGATTTAGGAACGTTCCGGCCATAATTTGAGAATCCATATTGCTTTTGCGTTACATTTGTCGTAGCAACTATAGATTGTCTTGCAACATCCTTCTTTCGTTGTTTCCTTTCAAATTCAACAATCATGACTTTTAATTTAGAGAAGGTAATGGGTTCTGGTCACACACGTAGGGCAAGAACAGCGTGATTATACTCCTCATTTAACTGAGTGAGAATATGAACAACCAGATCTTGCTCACTAATTAGATGTTGAGTAAGTGCCAGCGATTCAGCAATGGTGAACATTTCATCAACATACTCTTCAACGGGGTGACCATTTTGGGGATTGTAAGTGAGCTTAGTTTTGAGAGGCACAATGCGAGATGGTGAGGAACTAGCAAAGGTGGTTGTTAACCGGTCCCATGTGCCTGCCGAGGATACCGCCGATGAGATCAACGGTTGAATCGTATCGAAACAGCTCCCTAAAATAGCATTTAGGATGGTTTGATCTTGTCTGAACCAAGTGGTGTAAGCAGGGTTGATTTCCTTCTGAGCAGTGTCAAAGAATTGAGTAGGGGTCGGGGTTGTGCCGTCAATATAGCCAAGCAACCCCAAGCCAATGAGAGAGGCTTGAACTTGTCTTCTTCAAACTTGGAAATCGAAGGATGTTAATCGAATGGGAAAATTAGTGGGAGTACTATTGAGTTGGATGACATGGGTGTCTAAGGAAGAAACCATGGGGAATAGAGGAAAAAAAAAATATGATAATTTATTCTCGCTAGAGTATGACTCTGGATACCATATAGAGACAGAATGAACGATGCATTTAACAATAGACAATGGAGGCTTAAATAGCCAATAATACAACAGAACCACCTAAGTCGTCTATGAGTTGTTAACAGACTTATTCTAATCCTACAAACTAGGAGGAACTAGTCTAGCTATATAGTAGACTAAACATATTATGCCTTCTTAAAGTATTACATTTTAATATTGACCCGACTCGACCCGACATGTCTCACGGTGAGACGATCTCACACAAATTGTTGCAATATAATAACTATACATACACGTGTGCTTATGGCCATGTGTGTATATATTTATTTGTATTTAGGGTCTCTTAGTGAATTAAACAAAATAACTTCAAATATAATCCCAAGCAAATATTCTTACAAAAATGTACCGTACAAGTTTTGAATACAATTTTTTTTCGAAAAGTTTTGAATACATATAATGAGAAATATTTGGCTCGTTTGGTAAAATAGTTAGGTTATCAGTCAATTTTAGCTTATTTGACCATAATTAGTTATTTGACTTGGTTAAACAATGAATATGAGTATTTGATTAATTAACTTTCTGTAATAGCTTATTTCTCCAAAACACTAAAATTCAAAAAGCTGTTCAAAACAATTTTTTCAATCAGCTTTTTAAGAAAATCATTTTGTATGTAATCAACTATCAGCTAAGAACTAATTTACCAAACATCTCTATATCAGCCTATCAAATAATCAAACTCAATAGTGAAGTTTTTGGAGTGGTTTTTGATGTGTCAACAAGGAAAGAGATTGAGGAAGGAAAAAAAAAAAAAAAAAAAAAGGCAAGTCTGACGTAACCAAAAAAAAAACACACAGATCGCTCACGCGCTCGGTTAGGCGCGACCTGTGCACCACATGCACGCATAATCACTTTTCTCTTCCATTTTCTCTCTCTTGCGGGTCCTCGCTTGCAAAGAGATCCAAGACGTTCCCTCTCCTCCCTATCTCTCCTTCACATAAACTATATTTTTCTTAAAAACCGTAAAAGAAGAGTCGTCCATCCATAATACTTGTCCAATTCCTCCAATAGGTGAGAGAACCTATGAATTTTCTATTGTTAATTATTCTTAGTTAAAAAGATCAAATATTCAGCATGTTGAATAATTGCAGCAAGAAATGCATGGTGTCATTTGGATCGGAATGCCTATAGCTACTCCTAAGATATTTTTGAGAATTGAAACAAGTTCCAATTAAATATTGAAATTTACTGTTGAGAATTGAAAAAAGTTCCAATTAAACATTGAAATTTACTGTTGAGAATTGAAAAAAGTTCCAATTAAACTTTGAAATTTACTGTTGGGAATAATTGAAACAAGTTGCACTTAAACATTGAAATGTACTGTGTTAGAATGTTGTTATTTTCTCTTGTGACTTAGAGCATCTTCAATGGTTGTGATTTTGAGAAATTTTTGCAGGTGTAATTAGTAAAGAAAAGATGAGATGAGAGAGAAAAAGAAAAATAATAATAAAAGCAAGTCTGCCAAAAAAAAAAAAAAAAAAAAGAGAAGAAGAAGAAGAAGAAGATTTTACACGCCCACGCAACTCAAGCAATCACTAATCTCCACGCGGACCTCACATTTTCAGACCAAAAACCGCTCCTAAGAACTTCATTTCTTCTCTCTCTTCCACATCATCTTTATTTCCTCAAAAACCCTACCAAAAAGTATTGGTGGAGATGCTCTTATGCAAACAACATTATTGAACAGAAGCTCTGAAAAAAGACGGATTATGCACTTCATGATCTCAGAACTAAGATTTTCAAATATTAGTGTTGTCTTTTGATAGTATGGATTAAGTTATTTTCTTTTCTTGTTCTCACCATTTGGTATTACATTTATAGCTTGCAATGCCAAATAATGAAAACTCTGAACAAGTTAATCTTGAATTTTCATCTTATCAAAGTCATGAAGGCCAGGAGAAACTGTTTAAGGGTCACTCAAGGTCCTTCATGAATGCAGGTTTCATTGGCACCAAAAACATTTCAATATGTTGTAAAAGAATACTTAATTGAACAGTGAATTATTACAACTGAGACATGGTGTCATTGGAGAAGAAAAACATCATAACACACACAGTTGAACTGTTCATATCAAATGGAAACCAAAAATACATCATATATTGGTGCACCACTGAGCTTCACTGGAAAAGTTGACTGGGGAATTGCAGCAAGAAATCCTTTCTGTTCGTTTTCTCCCGAAAGCGGGATGATGAACATCTTTCTTCAATATATCAACATGCATGGTTACACAAATTACCAACCAACGAGACAGATCACCACCAATCAGGATTGAACTGGACAAGTGGCGTATACTAATTATCAACTTCATCAACTTTAATTTAGACAATGCAAGAACTCATGAAAGCAACACACAACTTATTCAGCAATGAGGACCATATTAAGTTGAGCCAGGAACCTACACGTTGAAAGATAAAGTCACTTTCTTCTTTCCTCAGTCAATTCTTTCAATGCATTCATAGATTTCGGCACCTTCTTCTTCATATATTTCATCACACTCTTCCGAGCTTTCAATCTTTGTTTAGAGCTTTCGATACTTTCTTCTTCAGAGCTTTCAACACTTTCTCCTTCAGATCTTTCAATAATAGGCAATTCAACCTTGAAAAGTAATTGAAAATGAGTAAAAAAAGCAAACAATAAATTAATACATGGAATTAGAAAGCATAAAACTAATAGTTTGAAATAATGAACAAGAATTAGAGAGAAACCTTAGTTCCAACTTTACAAACACGAAGTGGAGAACCTGCCTTTCCCTTAAACAATAACTTGTCTGCAGAAGTCACAAGAGAAGAATAACAACATTCTAACACAATTAACTTCAACGTTCCAATATTTGAAAAGGTAGGTGGAACTTCTTTCAATTCCCAACAATATCTTAAGACTAGGTGCTCCAAAACTGGGAAATGATTAGAACTTGAATGCCAATGTTTGAGATTTGAACGTGAAATAAGAAGCGTCTTTAATTCCCGAAAGCCTCGCTTTGACGGTTCCCACTTTGAGCCACAGAAGGCGAAATCTTTTAGTTTAAGCACCTCAAGGTGCCGCAACTTGCCAATTGTGTCCATCTCCTTCCATGGAAGATAAGTATAACGAAGTGTTAACTTCTTAAGGTTTGGTGGAAAACCTGTTGGAAGACAAAATTGCTCGATTCTTCCTACTTCAAACTTCAACTTCTCAAGTCGATGTAAATACACAAGGCCCTCTAGATAGCTAGGCTCCAGTTGTCCTTCAATGTAAATCCCAAGTTCTTTTAGATTTGGAACCATTCTGAAGTTTGGTTTTTCATTGTAGGAGCTGGCAATTTTCAACCAATGCAGAGTTTGTAGATTTTTTTTGACTAAGCAAGGGAGATATTGTGAACATCTCTTGTCAACATGCAAATGCCTCAATTGTTGCAAACCCAAAATATCACATGGCAGGTGCAAAGGACATTTTTCCATCCACGAAGTAACTATGAGAGTTAGCAAATTTTTAAGCTTTAAAAATCGAAGCTTGTAAAGAGAACCGATGGTACTTAAAGCCAAGTATTTCAAATGAACCAAATCTGTTATTTCACTAGGCATGCCTTGTGAGCATTTAACTAATGATAAATCCAATACTCTAAGCAATTTCATACATGGGTATAACAACTTGCATTTTGAATGGTATACATCTTTACCAAAGCACAGAACGGAATGGATTTTATCGAGAGTGCAATTTCTATAACTCGCTCGAGTGATTGGCCAATGACGTGTTTGACAACTTAACCAATGGCTAGCTCTTGGAGCATGATTGTCATTGATAATGCACAAAGCATTCTCTTTTATTGCTTCTCTCACACAAACTTCGTGCACTCGATCATGAATCTTACATGATTTGACTTTGCCGTCAATACATAGCTCATTAATTTGAATTAGGCTTCTATTAATGAGATCATGCAAGTAACCCTCTGCCACTGCTTCCAATCTCATTTTTTTACGTTGCATTAGAAATCCCTCTGCAACCCATAAGTTGATTAGTCTCTTAACAGGAATGACATTGTCTTCCGGAAACACACCAAAATAATGAAAGCAAGCTTTCAAGTGACTAGGTAAGTAGTTGTAGCTCAATGAAAGGACTTTTGAAACTCTGTTGTTATTATCATATCTATCAACTCCACCCAAAGTTTTCTCAACATCTCTCCATATTTCTAGAGACTCTTTTGCTGTCACCAAAAGCCCGGCAATCACAACAACTGCTAGTGGTAATCCACTGCAAAGATGAACAATGCGTTTCCCAATTAAATCATCTTCCCAGGTAACACTTTGGCGTTGCCCAAAAACTTTCCTTGAAAATAATTCCCAACTATCATCAAAAGTTTGATACTTCACATGGTAGGGATTCGTACTTAAGTATTTAGCCACCTTTGTGAACCGGGTAGTTACTAAGATTTGGCTTCCATTACAATTATCTGGAAAACATCCTTGGATAGCATCCCATGCAGCAGTGGTCCATATGTCATCCAAAAAAATTAAATACTTCCGGCCCATCAAACTTCTGCATAATTGCTCAGCTATTTGAGCATCGTCTATGTTGTAGATTTCACTAGTAATTGGTGAAATACAACGTAATAGACCAATGAGCATCTCTTTGAGGTTGTGAACTTGAGATACAACTACCCATGCTCGAATTTGAAAGCAAGCAATAGTAATTGGATGTCCATAAACTCTTTTGGCTAATGTAGTTTTTCCTATCCCTCCTTCCCCGACAAGTGGGGTAACTTGTAGTTTCAGCTCAGGATTTTCAACATATTTCCGAAACTGTTTACTGTTACTATTCCTCAAAATGGTGAAAATTGATCTCATCAAGTGTGAATAACTGAGCCGGTTAATTATCTTCTCTATATCACTGTCAAATCCTACAATTACTTCATTCTCAGGCTCTAAAGCATTTTGGTAGGTATCCAAAACCGTGATGTTCTCTTCCTCAGGCTCTAAAGCAATTCTTTTTTTTTCCGCTAGGATCAGTTCTTTAACTTCCTCAATATCTATTACCACTTTTTTCAAGGTCTGATGAAGTTGCTTACAACCGAATTTCCTAGTAGCTCCCAAATATACTTTAGAACCTATTATGCAATTGCATCCCAAATATATTTTTCTCAGTTTATATTCTATTTTGTAGTTTTCATAACTTGTAGCAAGTTTATCTCGGATATCTTCATACAGTAACTTAGCCCAGAGGTCCCCGTCGTTCATTTTCGTCTTACATTCCTCGAAAAAGGCTTGCAGAAAGCAGAGGTTGAAAGACAGCAACTCAATCGTTTCAAGCAGCGACTCCATCATTCCTACAGCATCAAAAATCGAAAGTAGTTCTGGCTTCACAAGGTCTTGCTCTACTATTTTGATTAGAGCATCAAAACCCATTATATTGAACTTGTCTGTTTAGAGTGTTTCTGGAACTCATATCAGAGTACACTATCAGTCTCAATTACTATACTCAGCAAGAAATTCAATGGAATAATTATAACAGAGAAAGAGATAATAATGGTGCATGCAAAATGGGTTAAAATCTGCTAAATTATTAACTTTGAACTTCCCCTTGGATTAGGATTGTTATGCCGTGGAACCGTGTCCAAGGTGGACAGGGTTCTATGAGGTAGACACAGTTCTAGAATTCTATGTTCGTAATTATAAAATTGTATGTTCATAATTTTTGAACTTCATAATCATAATTATTGAACTATATATTCACAATTACAGAATTTTTGTTCATAATTATTGAACTCTATGTTCATAATATAAAACTCTATGTTCATAATTTTTGAACTTCATATTCACAATTATTGAACTCTATATTCACAATTACAGAACTCTATTATTATAATTATAGAACTCTATTTTCATAATTTTTAAACTCCATATTCACAATTATGAACAGTTTTGGAACCGTGTCAGAGGTTCCAGATAGACACGGTTCCACAGCATAATTTGCCCCTTGGATTATTAGGGGTAACACTTGAGACCTGGGTCGGATCTTTGGTTAGTGGATCCGGTCTTTGGTTAATGAATCGGCATTATTAATTAAAGATCCGACCCATCTTACAGATTTAGATTCGTGAGATGGTCTCACACAAGTTTTTGTAGATTATTAAATTTAACCAATACAATCTAGTGAACGCACAATCAAAAAGAGATAAACATTTCGGAGTATAAAAAGGTAAAGGAATTGAGTGATGTTGGAGAAGTAGGAAACATACCTTAAATTAGGTTGGTGAAGATGGATCGGAAATGGAGTTAGTGAATTGGGTTTGGGTAATATCAGATGAGAGATTGAAGGTCTGAGTTAGTTGTACTGTTGAAATTATGAAGTAGAGTAGATTAGAGTCTCTGAATTGAAACTCAGATCAGATGAGAGTTATTGAAATGAGTATACTGGTATAGCAGAGATGGGATAAGATCTGGTGAATGAATTATTGATGGGATATTGGGATGAGTAATTCTATACTTCCTATGATTTGGTATGAATACATGTGAATATACAGTTGTGAATTGTCATTTGGGGTAGAAATGAGAATGAATGGTTCTGCAGTTTTTAAGACATCATTTAGGAGATAAGGTAAGTATAAATATTGAAGTTTTATGTATTACTGTATATTTGTATATATATGTGGTTTTGAAATTATGCTAACTCAAAATTCTGTATGAATGCATTTAAAATGCTTATTGAGATGATTGTCCTAAATAATCTTTAGTTGCATTTGCAATCAATGTTATGTTGTCAAAGGAAATTCTTAATACTCTTTCTGTGTTTGCTTTCAAGTTCAAAACTAAATGTTCTTTAATCTACTTTGCAGCCATTCTTTAATCAAGTTAAAAAAAAAAAAAAAAAAAAAAAAAAACTTAATATTCTTTTTGGAGTAAACATCAACTCTTCAACCAAACAAGTTTATATTGCATACCTCAATTTTAATCAAACACAAAAATCTAACATTACCAAGAATCTGACATTCCATAAGATAATCTGACATTTCGTGAACCAAACGAACCCTAAATGTCTGAATCATTTGACAGTGATACCTAGAAGCTAGGTGAAAAAGATGCAAAGTGAACACTGCAAATTTGATTTTGAATTTGGTTGAATATTGATCATGGATTGAGACACTAATTATTGATATAATATAAATTTGTTAGAATGATTTATTTAAAGTCCAAAGTGCACTAAGATGTTTTCCTTTTTGGCTTTTTAATATGTTAGATTTGATCTTTTCCCTTTGTCTTATTTGAAGATTCAGGTATTATTTTGATAAAGAAATTAAAATTATATTTTGATCTAACTGTTCTTTTCTCATTATTGTAGCAAATAGCAAATATAAATTCAAGGATGGAACTAATACCTATAGAGGATGGAACTACAACCTATATATATGGATGAACAATTCATTCACTCAAGTTACCAAGCATTTTCACCTATTAAATCTCAATTTTATGCCTTATTATTGTTATTGATTGATTGAGTGATGTTTCATGTTTTTAATTACGGGGTATTTGTAAATTGATGTAGCTTTATCAAAGTTGATGGGTTTTAATAATTACTTTATTTTGAAATTATGATTTTTGCATAACTATATTCAAATTATCTACTCAAATTCAGATTTATTTATTCTAGGAATAAGGGTCAAATAAGCCATCAAACTGCATACGATAATATAATTAGGCCATTGAACCTAAAAAATCAACCATTGGGTCCCTAAACTATCCAATTTCAAACAATTCTTCGAATTTGAAGATTTTCAACCGGTCATCCTCCCAAATTAATTATTTTTAAAAAAAAATTAAATTTTAAAAATTAATTATTTAATTTAAAAAAAAAAAAAAAAGGACTCCGGCCAGAGACGAAGAAGGTTCCTTTGTCTCCGGCCGGATTCCTTTTTTTTTTAATTTAAATAATTAATTTTTAAAATTTATTTTTTAAAAATAATTAATTTGTGAGGATGACCTGTTGGAAACCTTCAAATTGGAAGAATTATTTGAAATTGGTTAGTTTAGGGACCCAATTATTGGTTTTTTAGGTTCAATGGCCTAATTGCATTATCGTGTGCAGTTCGATGACTTATTTGACCCTTATTCCTTTATTCTAATTAACAAATTTTAAAAATTCGGGTAAAAGTACCCGAACCCGAGATAGATCCGAACCGACCAGCCCGAACCCGAAGAAAATTATTAATATCTCGATTCGGGCTCGGGTATTCAAAATTTTCAATCCAAAATTTTTGGGGTACCCGAAATTAATCTCGGGTCGAACTCGACCCCGACCCGTGCCCACCCCACGCCCAAACTGGTGGACCATGATCTAAAAATGACGCAGTTTCTTTAAGTAAAGAAACAGGGACATAGCAACAAATGTGTAGATTTGACATGAATGAGACAAAAATGTGTTGATTCAAAACCCTAGACAAAAATGTGTAAAGTACTAATGTCATTACTTCTTTTCAAAACCCTATTTGAAATTTGTTTTTTTTTTTGCTTTGACGGAAAATGTCACAAACTTTTCACATTCTTTTTTTAAAAGTTTTTTTTTTACTATTTTGCCCTTGCTTCTTTTTATAATTTCAAATGTATCATTTATTTGTTTTGTATGTAATTTTTTATTTTGTTAAATACTTATATTTAAAGTTTGTATTATTAAATATAAATTATACCATATTAAATATCTCATTGGGACGATCGAAACAAGACTAATATTGAATATATATTAATTAAAATTTCAAATACATCACATATCAAACTAATTGAGACAGAAGCTTTCTTCGTCGGACGAAGGCTTATTTATTTATTTTTAACAATTGTTTTGGTATTTTTATTTATTTATTTTTGACCGCAAATTTATCAATTAAAACTAATACGGAGTAACGATAATTGATCAAAAACAAACAAACAAAAAAAATTTCGAGGGGAGAGAAGAAGGTATTAATTTATACTTAGAGCATCCATATTAGTTGGGGAGATTTGGGAGATAATGTAAGAATGATTAGGAAAGAGAGTGTGGGAGGGGAGAGAAAAAAAAAAGAAAAAAAAATAACAAAACAAAAATTGAAAAAAAATAAATAATAAAAATTTGACGTGTCACAGCGCGCCTGACGCGCTACACGGGCGCGTGCAAGACATTGCGCACAGCCAGTGTTGTTTTTATTTTTCTTTTTTCTTTTTTCTTTTTTTTTCCTGACATTATCCTTGAATTTGCAGAACAAATATTTTCACAAATAACCCCACCCCACCCCACATTTGTTATTATCCCCACCCAAGATAATTCATCTGACAATAACTCCATAATATCCACTGATATGGATGCTCTTAATACCTTCTTCTCTTTCTTTCTTGTCAGCTTTTCTACTTTTTTTGTCTTTGTTTTTCTTTCTTCTTTTTTTTTTTTTTTTTTTTTTTTTTTTTGTTAAAGAGGGTAACCTGATTACCTTCTTCTCCTAAACCCTAATAAGAAGAAGGTAATCAGATTAGTACTTTACATATTTTAGTCCACCTTTTTCTTTCTACCTATTTTTGTCTCTTCCTTGTCAAATCTACACGAAAAAGTCAACAACCCCATGAAACAATGACCATTATATTTAACAAAAATCTCGTATTTGTGATGTGCTAAAAAATGGAACTACAGTGTATCTAAAATGAAACTAGATAATATGCCTCACACATTGAGTATATATATATATTGTCAAATGAAACTGTAATTGAATTGAAATTATATTTTAATTGTGTTGAAATGAAACTACAGTATGTATAAAATGAAGTTAAATATATAACATGTCTCACATATTGAGTGCATATTGTCAAATGAAATTGTAGTTGAATTGAAATGATACTGATGGGAAATATATCCCCAGAACCGTACTATATTATACCGTATACTTGCTCGGTATACGAGCGAATCACCAAGAGGAGCCATTTTCGATCACATGCCGACCCAGATCTAATCAACCCGACCTACCGTATAGCTCCAGCTATGGCTTAGTCAGCAGTCCTATTTCCCGGATCTCGGATTCTTCCCAAGACCCGACCTTCCTCACTTTGAGAGATAGATAGCAGTCTCGTTAACCCATCCCGACGGCGATAAAAGTAATTGTGTCTGGAACCTTTAGACCCATGCAAAATTTGTAAGGCCTCTGGCTTGCCCCTTCTGTACGAGTAGCACGTGTCGCACATGTCGAGCTCCCAACATGTGTTCCCCCAACTCTCTTATAAATATCACATTAAAACTAAATGCAAGGAGAAAGGACTTTTAGGTGAAATTTCTACTTAGCCTTATCAAGTTCAGGAACCTCTGGCCTTACGTCATCAACCGAGCATAAATTCTTAAACCAACAAGTAGACCACTAACAGACCTACCTACGATCTAACCTTATATGCTACGCATTTGTGGAAACTGTATAATTTATCACATCAAATACTTTAGTTGTGTTGAAATGAAACTATGGTATGTATAAAATGAAACTGAACTTCATGTCTCACATATTGAGTGTATATTATCAAATGAAACTTTAGTTGTGTTGTAATGAAACTACAATGTATATAAAATGAAAATAAATAACAATTTCATATATTTGAGTGTATATTGCCCAATGAAATCATAGTTGAATTAGAATTATACTTTAGTGGTGTTGTAATAAGACTGTAATGTGTACAGGGACGTAGCCAGCAAATTATTTGAGTGGGAGCGAAGTTTAAACGACGTTAGAAATGTCAATTACGTACCAAGTACATTATAAATTATAATAGAATGTTTTTGATAGATTACACGATAGTTAGAGTCGAAATAAAAAATATACTTGAGTGGAGTGAAAATGTGAAAATATTTATGGCAAAATATGAAACATAATCAATTAGATAAAATAATTTGAATAACATTATATTCATAAATACTTTTTAATTTTAATTTTTTTTAGTTAGATCAACTTTAAGTTTTTCTAAATTAATTCGAATACAATGAAAAATAATATAAACTTGTATACTACATTAATAATTAAATGATTCATAAAAAATAGACTAAAAAGAATATTTAATTTGTTAATTAAATGATTTATCAAATTAGACTTAAAAATATTTAATTTATCGATAAAAAAAGTGTCATTAAGATTTGAACCTATAACCATGTTATACTTTTTTAGTAATTTAGAGTTCAATCAACTAAGCTACTCAAACTATTAGTAATTTAAATATAAATATATATTTTATATAATATTTAATGCTACACACACACACACATATATATAAAGGGGTGGGGTGGGGGAGTGGGGGCAGCTGGCCCCACGGCCTCCATACTAGCTCCGTCCTTGAGTGTGTATGAAATTTAATAGCAGGTCTCACATTTTAAGTATATATGTCAAATAAAACTGTAGTTGAAACAAAATAATACTTTAGTTGTGTATACCGAATTATTATTATTTTTCTAATTAAAAGGAACACCATTGTTTTAGACCATGTTTCACAATAAAATTTGCCGAGTTAATACACAATATAGTTCTTTTTTTGAAAGTTACTGATTCTATTACATTGTAGTATCTCATTGTAGTACCAATAACACCTCCACTGAGGGTCGAACTCATAATCTTCCAAATGGAAGTCCAACTCGGGTACCATTAGACCACATAGTGGTTTAACTCAATTTAGTCTAACAGTCAACTAACAAAATTTTTAACAAAGGACTAAATTGTGTAAAATCATCAAAGTCGAAAATTAAATTAAATATAAAAAGTTATTTTAGACTAAATTGAGTAAAAAAATCATTTAAGACTAAATTGAGTAAATCACTATAGTCATTGATATTAACTCAAAATTTGGTTAAAAAAAAAACCTCAAAATTTGCGAATATGCGGAGCCTCCTGAACATATATAAACAGCCTCGCCTCCGTACATGGTGATGCAACCTATTACCTAAACAGAACCGGAACAATCTCTCAGGACACCGTCTTGACGGTGCTTTCGTTGTCCTAATATCTCACACTTCCACGACTTACCTGAAATATCGAGAAGAATAAATCAGGAATTATTCATCGTGATTGTTTGTTTTGGTTGCAGAGGAAACCTGGTATATTAAACGATTCGTTACATCTCAGCTGTGAAATGGTGGCGATTGACCCTGAAAACACGGCGGTGGAGGAGAGGGAGCAGACTAGGAAGCGGCGACGTTTGACATGGGACGTCGCCCCGCTCTCTCCGGAAAATCAAGAAGCTGAGGTTCGGTTCTTAGAGTTAGGTTTAGGGTTTTGGTGGCGAAAGCGAGAGGGAAACAGACCTATGGAATCTTAGGCGGTGCGTTTCTTGTTGTGTGTAGGCTGAGGAAAATGATAAGAAAATCCAGAAAGTAGAGCCTCCATCTCGGTTGCGGTACTTATCGCCTCCGCTTAGGGATGATGATCGCGATGGCCATTACGTCTTCAGTCTCGGCGAGAACCTGACTCCAAGATGTTAGCCTTCACGTCCTTAATTTTTTATTTTTTTTAAAATATTTTTCTTGAGTATGAATGTATTTGAATAATTTAGTATAGTCTATGAGAATCGATTTCATTCCTTATAAATGTTTGCTGAACATTGCAGTCTGTGTGTGAAATTGTTGTTGTCTTCTTTTCCTATACTTTCTGCCATTTAGTTTATGAGAGTTATGGATTGTTTTCAGGTTGTGCTGTGTGTGCACTGAAATTGCTCTTTTATTTTTATCAAAAATCGTATCCATATTGCCAAAAACTATTAGAACATTGTCCAAAGTTATATACACACCCATCACATGTGTGTATATTAATTACCCTAAATATAGAAGCTTTTGCATTACATAAATATAGTATACTGCTATTGGTACTACATTCTATTTCTCTATATTAAACTTTATTCATGTGTTCATATAAGCTTGCAGCAAACTCTGTGTCTGGCCAAATTGTTTTCTCATAGAATTGAATAACTGGTGACATAAATTAAATTCACTGATTCTTATGCTACATAAACTGACTTTTTACTACTTAATTTGATATATGGATGCTGCAAAAGGAAAACTACTAATTTGGGTCTTTCTCCTTATCCACACTTCCCCATTTTACTTGGCCTGTAGCTATTTCCCCCCTTGTTATGTTATGCTGAATCCTTGTTAAGATTTTGATTTTGTTCTTTGTTTGTTTTTTAATTTTAAAAATGATGAATTTGTGTCATGCTTATGTTCTTTATGTGACAACCAAGTAAACTGTTACAATATTAGGCTTTTGACATATACAGATATACTAATATGCTTATATTTCTCTGAAGATGATCTTTTCTGTTGCTTTGCAATGTTTAGTTACTCCCAAGCTGAGTGGAATTTCTATTTCTGCTCATATGTTTTGCAGATAAAATTCTCAGCAAAATGGGTGAAGGTTAGCTGTCGTGTGCCTGCTGAAAAAAAAACAATATGTTATATCTCATTATTGTATCAAATCAGCAAATTGCTAGTGCTGTAGGCACCTTTGGGCGGGTTTTGGAATGTTGGGACCGTCAAACTCGAGAATATGCAGCTATTAAAGTTGTACGAAGCATTAAAAAATACCGTGAAGCAGCAATGATTGAAGTTAATGTGCTCCAGCGACTTTCCGAGAATGATACAGGCAATTCACAGTATGTTTGTCATAGCCAATTTTGAAATTTTTACTTTCCTCAATTTGGTATTTGCCTTTTCAATGCTTGGCCTAATTTTGCTGCTTCTATTACAGTTGTGTGCAGATGCGGAATTGGTTTGATTATCGCAATCATATATGCATTGTAAGTAATAAAATACAATATTTCAGATTTTTTTTTTCCTGCAACATTGTTCCTCTACTAGTCTTGTTTTGTAGATAGTGGTAGATTTTCTTGAATACTTTCTCTTGATTTTCTGAGGTTTACCTGAAAATGGTTGGGGTTGATGCTTGGTGAAAATATCTGCTCCTATAACTAGTCCTGCGTGTTGATTTCTTATTTATCTTTTTTCTTTGGACGAATTATCCCTGCTTGTTGACTTTTTATTCTCTCGTTTAAGTCAAATATCTTGTTATTTTACTGTTGTGGGATTTATGGTTACCTGATTTCATCTTAGTAGCGTTCGTTTAAGTTTTATGGTCTTCTTTTCAACCATTGAGTACTTAATAAAGATCTTCCTTCTGCTGCATCTGAATGGTTATATCAGGTGTTTGAGAAACTTGGGCCAAGTTTATATGATTTACTAAAGAGAAATAAGTACTGCCCATTTCCTCTGGATCTTGTTCGGGAATTTGGTCGCCAGCTTTTGGAATCTGTAACATGTGTGTGGATTGTTTTTAGCCTTCTTTATCTTCTTGTTTATCTATTCAATTACCCTGAACTCCCTTAACCTGTTACTTTGACCAGGGGTATTATCCTATTCCTGTGTGTTTCATTAACTCTATGCTATCACTTACCATATTTAACAGATATGCATGGTTTATGTTTAATCCACACCGACTTGAAGCCAGAAAATATACTCCTTGTGTCTTCTGAATCCATAAGGCTCCCAAGCTACAAGGTATTTAGCATTTTAGCCTTCTTAAGTTGAAGAAAACCAAATATATAATAGTATCTAGGCACATTGATTTTTCATACAACTTTTTAATTTTACAGAGGAGTTCAGTTGATATGAACTGCAGGTGCTTGCCAAAATCTAGTGCTATTAAGCTGATTGATTTTGGCAGTACCGTGTTTGACGATAAGCTTCATAGTTCCATTGTATGCACAAGGCACTACAGAGCACCAGAGATTATTCTAGGTAAATTGTTACTGAGGAAGAGATATGCATTCCTTCTGTTTTTTTAGTTTGTATTTTATTTTTTATATATTTTTTATACTTTGGATATATTCATATATCTCCATTCTCCTATTTAATTGGGAATAGTTCTAAAAGTTAACAAGGTTGTCAAATAGTATTTCAATTTTTAATACAAACTTTTTAAAATTCCAAGATACTGGAATACTATATGGAAGTTGAAGTACCAAGTGCAATCGGAAATTTTGAATTTTTATAATAATTAATAATTAGATTAGGATACTTAAATTTTAATGCATTTGTCATTAACAGTAAAAAGTATTACTTGTTGCCTGTGTCATTATTTGGAAGATGACAGGTGATTCATTATTTCTTGATGTCTAAGTGGATTTGTTGTTATTTTTCATTTGTGTATGATATTATACATCAGTAGAGTCAGTAGGAAATGGTTGGCAATAAGGCTAATGGGAATGGCTTATTTGCGATTTTGAGTGTATGGCTGTGTCCTCCACTTCAATTTATGTAGCTTATGGGCAGGAGTGTATAAAAAGAGATTAACCTGGTTGCTAATCACAGTCAGTTTGAGATTTGTACTCAATTAGTAGAAGGGCACATTGTGAGATGAGATGAGGCATTTTAGGCACTGACAAACTAGTACACCACTCCTAATTTCTTCTTATGCACTTTATTGCAGGTCTAGGATGGACATATCCCTGTGACCTATGGAGCGTAGGCTGTATACTTGTTGAACTTTGCTCGGTTAGCTCTGCTTTTATTTTGCCACTATCTCGTACTTTGGCTTTGATATATTTGCAATTCGTGTATTGGTAATTTGGTATAGCTGAGAGAGAGAGTCAGAGAGCCATAAATCATATATTCTCCGATAAATGTTGTTCCAGGGTGAAGCTCTTTTTCAGACACACGAGAACTTGGAGCATTTGGCAATGATGGAGAGAGTGTTGGGCCCCCTGCCTCAGCACATGATTCAAAAAGCAAAGTAAGTTACTTCATTTGATTGCTTAGCAAAATGTTGTTTGTTATTCCATGGTTGAGTGGCTCTGTCTTACCATTTTTTTTTTTTTTGCAGTCAAGGTGCAGATAAATATTTCAAGAGATCAAGATTGAATTGGCCTGAAGGTGCAGTATCAAGGGAGAGCATCAGAGCGGTAAACAAGTTGGATCGACTTAAGGTCTTGTTTCGTTCCCCCCACTCTCATTTTTTTTTTTTTTCCCGAAAGAAAGAAGCATTTCATTAGTCCAACTTGTCAGAAGCAACTACATCAAACAAAGAAGAAAAAGGAATGGCAAACCATTCCAAACAGTCTGACTTTGAAATAGCGTTCCTAGCTAGCAAATGGGCTGCTATATTCGCAGATCGTTGCTAACACTTGAAAAGTGTTTAGCTAATTCTTTAATATCATTAACAAGGGAACCTAAAACCGAAGAGCTACCAATTATCATCCCCCACTCTCATTTGGTTAACATTTTGCTTGCTCCCTTTCTGTCACCGTCTCCATTCCAATCACAATAAACGCGTTGTTAATGCAGGATCTTGTATCACGCCATGTAGAATCCTCAAGATCACCCCTTATCGACTTGTTACAGGGCTTATTGAAGTTCGATCCATCTGAGCGACTCACTGCTGAAGAAGCACTTAACCATCCCTTCTTCAGAAATCCAGCCTAACCAAAGTGCTTATTTTGTAATTCCTAATTGATTTTGTTAGAGGCTTCAGCCTGGGATTTTGATTTTTTATCATGTTCATTTTAAATGTATTGTACATTCATTCGATTGACTTACATGTTTATTTCAATAATTAGGAACATAATAGGAAACTTCAGAGTTGGTAAGAACCAAATTTGTAATATTTTGATTCGAGATGTTTTACTTTCTAGATCATTCTTTTCAGAGTGTTGAATGAAGTTAGTTAATTTACCCCAATAAATAAAATACAATTTTATTATCACATTTATTTTCTCAATAAGTTAATACTAATTAAGGTCTCATAATTTTGTAATTTATCCAATTTAGTATCTAATTTTAAAATTAATTGAGTTACATCTTCAACTTTTAAAATATTATCGAATTTTGTATTTTTGTTAATTGACATCTCACTACGTTGTATTTTTGTTAATTGACATCTCACACGTTGTCTAAAACTCTAAGTAATGAGTATTTGTAGTAAAATTTTTGAGTTAATTCTAACAATAGTCCTCCGACTATTGTTTGATTTTTCAAATTTAGTCCTCGTCTTTCAATTTAGATAAAATAAACCCTTGACTATCATAATTGTTCCACCATTGGTCCTTCCGTTAACTAACTGTTAAATAAATGTTAGTGAAGGGATAAAAATATAATTTCTTCTACTGGGTCATTTCCTCACCCGTCCAAACCCACCATAGCTAATGAATATAGAATTTCCCCTTTTCTCTCTCAATTTCTCTCTTTCTCACCCTAAATTCTCTACTTTCCCTATCCCTATTTCTCTGTTTATTGCCTGAGCCCGCTGCAGAGCATGAAAAATCAAATATGAAATTCTTCTCTCTTGAAGATGACGGATTTACTCCGGAAACTTCACATCGACGGTGGCGTAATCTATCACCATCATCACCCGCACCACCGCCCACCACCGTTTGATAATCTTCCGCGGTTTAGAGAACTGGACTCCGCTTTGACTCCGGCTTCGTCCTCCTCCGAAACGACGCCGGCTTCGCCCTCCTCCGAAACGACGCCGTCTTCGTCCGCGACAATGTCCAGGATTGGGGAATCGAATGCTGTGTTAGATTCGGTCCCAGCGGTCCTCCCTCTTCCGTCTCCCTCTCTTTTTCGTCTGATCTTACACCCTCAACCCAGCGGAGCAGAACAGGGGAGTGGTGGTGTTTTCCTGGCGGATTAATGCAAGTGACCGAGCTGGTTGGTGGTGACCTCTAGTTTTCCGATCGGTGATTGGCAGCGGCGAAGACTTTAGCTTTGAACAAAAGTGTTATTGCAAATTGTCGTTTGTGGTTGCCACATGTCAGTTTATGCTTCTTTTAAAAAAATATATATATTTATTGGTCATAGAGAATTTGTGCACCCAAATTAAAGCAAACCCACTTTACACTTTAGATTACGAATTTCTGGTGGAATAAACTTTGCAAGATTTTGTTTTTGGATAAATCTTATTATACCATCGACGAAGACTTTGCCTCTTCTCGTCATGACGATTGGTGTGTAGCAGCGAAGAGACAGAGACGGTGATCTCCCCTGTCTCCGACGAATAGAACAACAGTCCGGCGAGGAGGGGTCTTGACCGACGACGGGCAGCGGCAACATCAACTTTGACGAGCATCTCCTCCGATTGCATGGACGTGGCAGTGGTTTAGCTTGGAAATTGTATGGTGAGAGGTGTTCATGTTGTATGGTGTTTGGGTGTTCATTGCTACTGTCGAACCAAGGATGCAAGAGAGAGATCGCTGGAGAAGGGAGGAAGAAGAAGTTTAACAAAAAGACCATTTTAACCCTTATATTAACCCCTAACAAACGGATCTTTTAACGGAAGGACCAATACTGGAACGAATATGATAGTCAAGGGCTATTTTGTCCAAATTAATAGACAAGGACTAATTTTGGAAAAACGCAATAGTCGGAGGACCATTGCTGGAATTAACTCAATTTTTTTTTAAGTATGAGACTTTGGTACAATGTAATATCTACTTATGACTACTTATGAATTACCTATTTTACCCTTGTTTTCTTTTTTAATTATATTACTCTTATTAATTTGTAGGAACATATATGTCTTTATACTGGTTATTTCATACAATTCCAAATTTAACCAAACAATAGAATTAGTATTCACAGTAATTCTTTTTCTACCAATCAAACAATGAAATTCATCTTCTTAATAATTATTTTTTCATTAAATTTTAATTCACTTCCCTTAAAATATTTTTGCCGAACCAAACGAGCCGTAAGTGAAATCGTTATTCGTTAGAATCGGCATAGAAAAAAGGTTTATCATTGTATTCTCCTAAACCTTAAAACCTAGCAACTAGTAACAACTGATCTGAACCCCAAGAGGAGAGAGTTTGAAACTTGGAAATGGCGTTTAGATCCAAGGAAACGATGAAGAAGCTGGTGAAGAACTTAGGGGGCGAGAAGAATTTGCCGGCCAGAGCCAAAGAACGGCTGGAGAAATTGCCGCCCAAGACTACGGTCGTCATGGGCCGCGCCCACCGCGGCCTCTACGCTGGCCGCCATATCCAGTTTGGCAACCAAGTCAGTGAAGACGGTGGAAACAAGTAATCACTTAGTATCCCCTCACCAATTTCTTTCATATCTGCTCTTCATTTTCTTTCATGAGTCTTTTTGGTTCATTATGTGCTTGATTTTGAGCTTATCAGCCTTCACATGGAAGTGTCAAGAGATTTTAAGTTATGTTATTGATTATCATAACGCTCTATTAAATAAATTGGGGACAATTATTACTTTGTATTGTTAGGGATAGGGAATAGTGTGTGGTTGTGAGTGTTATTTTGCTGAAATTTTTTATTTCGTAGTCTGAGTACAGATGAGAATAAGATTCAGGACTTGGTTAATAATCTGATGATCTATGTTTCTTAGTTGACAATCAGTTGCCGGAATAGGATATTCATCTTTTCTGGCATTCAAGTTGTTTTGCAAGGTGGATATCAGTAGAAAAGTAGGAATGGTTACTAAGTCCATGGAATGTTCTTGTAATTATGGCCAATGTTAGGTATGTGAGCAGTGCAGAACTGTTATTTCAAATCCTAAGCTTAAGTTGTATTTTCAAGTTTCTGTCCCATTATATTCATTGCCTTTGGAGTAAATTGATCAATTTTACATACCAAATAGAAGTCCTGAAGCTCAATGTCTCCCCCAGATGAACTATATACCCAAGAGAAGTCATCAACTGGTATAGTTAGAATTTTCCTTGCCCGATCATCAGTGAGAACTTCATAGTTGTAGGTACCTTGTTGGATTTCATATCTTTCTTGGTATTCCAAAATTCTAGGTAGAAGCATGGATGAAAAACAAAGATGCCATCTTTTCTTCAATCTATGGATTTGCAGTGTATAAAAAGAACCGAACAACAACTTGGGCATGCGTCCTGCTTCTTTAACTGAAGCGAAATGACTCAAATCTTCTTCCCTCCTTAATGAACCCCCATTTGTGACAAAAGTTGTGAACCAGCCTTGTCGCATGCATCTCTCATTTGTTTGGTGCAAGTGGATGTATGAAGATGAGTTCAAGTTTAGGAGAATACATCAGTTTGGTTTCCCCTTTTGCTTCCTTAAACATAAACACAAGAAACTGTGGGTTTAGTTAGTACAGTCATGTTCTTTAGTTCCTGATACTTTCATTTTCTTTTGTTGGGGTTCCTAGTACTGTTATTATCTCTCTTGGATTGGAAATAACATCCGGAAACTAACTGATTTTACTGATTGCTACTTCGGTTACCCAAGAACTTACTATCTGAAAAATTGAACGCTTATTTGAGCGTGCCTGCCTAGTGCCCACTATAAGAACGAATATTTTTCACCTTCCTTTTTCGCATTTGAAGAAAACTTTCTAGTTCTTGTAGCTTTTATCAGTACATTTTGTTAACCTGGAAGGTAGAAATTTATCATTTCTACTAATTCTTCCATTTAATATTCACATGCATTATTAGGACCACATGGCCACTAGCAGTAGAAGACCTTGGAGTACCATGTGGTTGTGAGAGTGTTATATTGCAGAAATTTTTTTATTTCATTGCGCAAGTACAGATGGGAATAGGGCGATGTGGTTACTAAAGCTCTTTAGAAATCTGTTGATCTATATTCGTAACCGACAGGCAGTTGCCTGAATCAGATATTCAGCTTTTCTGGCATTCTATCACTAGAAATGTTTTCTTTGGTATAGCAGTACAGAGTAGTGATTTTGTATCCTAAGCGTAATTTGTTTATTCAAATTTATCTCCCATTATATTTGTTGCCTTTAGAGTAACTTCATGAATTTTACCTATAAAGCAAAGTCCTGAAGCTCAATGTCTAGACACTGGCCCTCCTTTAAGGAATGTAAAATAGCAGTATTTGGCTATTAGGTGCATGTTTAAGCTTCAATATTTTGTTCTCAAATTTCCCATTGTGAAAGTTAAATCTGACTGACTTATCCTGTAATGCACTAATGCTAGTGGCGGACAATGAGTAATTTTATTATGATGTTTTGGCTTCTGAAATGTAATTTGGACTTCTAGTACTTGTATTCTTACGAGTGAAAGATCATTTTAATGTCTTCAAGTACTTGTTGAATACACAGTTGTGCTTACTAGTGTAAAAGTTCATTTTCATGTTTTATCTACATTAGTTTGTTGAATCTTCAACCAGTTACCAATACAATACAATGTTCATAAAGCTTTGCTCTTGACCGTTGTGGCTTTCTCTTTTCTTTTCTAGATTTGTCTTCCAAATCCTGTGTGTTGGTGGCAGCTAATGAGTAATTTGATTTTGGTGTTTGGTAAATGGCTGTTAGCTGATTGGGTTAGTGGATTTGACTAGTTGATAGCATTAGCTGATTGTAGAAAAGTATCTGGTAAATTAGCTGTTAGTTGTTAGCTGATTACATACAAAATGATTTTCTCAAAAAGCTTATCGAAAAAGCTACTTTGAGCAGTTTTTTGAATTTTAGTATTTTGGAGCAATAAGTTGTTACAAAAAGCTAATTAATCAAACACTCATATTGATTGTTTAACCAAGTCAAATAACTAATAGTGGTCAAATAAGTCAAAATTGGCTGATAGGCTAACTATTATACCAATCAGGGCCTCTGGTGTTTTGGGTTACTGAATTATATGCTTTTGAACCTTCTT